GGGGACTAACCAAAAGCTCAGTGGTTGGAACCACCAGCCACTCCGTGATAAAAAGATGAGGTAGTCTGTTTCCATAATGATTTACAGCCTTGGAAAACCTATAGAGCAGTTCTACTCTGTCCTATAGGGTTTCTATGTCATATGACATTTTTTAATGTCACTGATCCCTGGGCTAGTCTCTTGTAACACGTTCCACCTTCTAGATTTGCCTTTTGCATCCTTATGAAATTGTTACCTTAATCCTGTGGTTCCTGTGAACTGGATGTTAAATCTAAAAGTGTCATTAGATGTAAGCTAAACTTTTCCTGCAAAACTTCATCAGAAATGATACTGAGTACTTCATATTGAAATCATAGCAGGAGACATAAAATCTCTGGTTGTCTCAGTCATTACTAATTTCTTCTGTTAATGAGTCATAAAATTCTCTTTTAGAAGTGAGGGCAATTACACTTCTGGCCTTTTCTTTTACTGCTTTCAGAAATATCTAGGTCTTCATCCACCTGGAATTTATAGTGGCAAATAAAAGAAGGTATAAAACCTACTGCCATCAAATCAATTCCAACTTATAGCAACCTCCATTGGGTTTCCAAGGCGGTAAATCTTTACAGGAGTAGATCGTCTCATCTTACTCCCACAGAGCAGCTGGTGGGTTTGAACTGCTGACCTTCTGGTTAGCAGCCAAAATCTTACCCATGATGCAATAGATTTACTTTTTTCTTCTAATTGATATCCAGATATCCATAGCATTTATTAGGAGTCCCTGGAAGACAATGATAGCATTCAAACCCACCCAGAGGTGCCTTGGAAGACAGGTTTGAATCTGCTTCCAAAAGGGTATGATCTCGGAAACCCTATGGACGTGTTTGATTCTGCACTTACAGGACGGCTATCAGTCAAAATTGACTCATGGCAACTAACAACATAGCATTTATTAACATGGCCTTAGGGGGATAAAACGGTATTGATGGTTTCACAGCTGTTTACATTTGTCGAAACTCATAGAACTGAACCCTGGAAAAGAATTAATTTTACTGTAAAATATGCCCCCAATAAACCTGACTTAAAACAAAAATAAGTCTTTAATCTTTTCCCACTGTTTTATTACATTTGTTACATATTACATAGGACATTACTATATAATTTCAATATTTGTTTTCTTCCACTGGTAATTTAAAATGTTATTTCAGTGACTTAGGCTTTCATATGTTTTCTTACCTGGTATGGCAAGAATCCCTCCCTGTAGTTAACAACTTGCTTCGTTGATATGGTTTTTATTATTATGATTATTTTATTTAGTTCATATAGTAAGTTCTGTAAGTGATTTTCTTGGAAATGTGTGATTGGAGAGCCTCTCTTACATTTCTCCATCGCAGACAGAGGTAGACAATACCTCTGCAGTAATCTGAAATTTTTGGTTGTTTTGTTTGAATTTAACATCTTCCATTTTGTTCTGTGCTTTTTTTCTACAGGTTCTTCCATGCAATAGCCCTCCCTTAAACTAATTTCCAAGAAAGCAATATTCAGTCACTTTTAAGAAGGTAATTTCTGTTTTCCTTATGTTAAAAGTGTCAATTCCTATCCCTGCGTGATGCTAATCAGAATGGGTTTCTTTACATCCTTCGTATTTGCAGAACACTTGTATAGTTTCAAAATAGCATTTTTTTGTTCTGCAAGAGCAGTTCTAACTTTTGGCCTTAAGATCCCTTTACACTCTTAAAAATTACCGAGGACCTCATAAAGCTTTTATGTGAATTCTCACTACCAATATTTTCTTGATTATAAATTAAAAATGTGACATTTTAAAAGCACATTAATATTTAAGCACATGCAATTAGCCACCATTTTGATGGTGTCATCACAAGCCATATGGTCACTGGAAACACTGTATATCAGGTATGGAATGAGTGAGAAAAACGCAAATTGCGTCTTAACGAAGAAAGATGAGGCAGTCTGCTTCCCTACGATTCCCTGTGGGCTTTGATATCCAATGGGGGTCGCTCTGTGTCGCAATCATCACGATGAGAGAGAGATTGTTAGGAACTACTCCTCGGGGTTTTCTTGGTTGTGATCTTTATACAGCGCCAAGGAAAATAGTTTGGGTATTAGTGGATCCCCTAAAAGGGTCTCTGACCTCCCACCCACAAAGTCCCGAGGTCACACTTTGGGGACCCCTGTCTGACACAAGTTTTGGCATTCCCTTCTCGGAGTCAGTGCCTCTTTGTGCTGACTTTTTTTTCCAGGCCCCACCAAGGATCTGAAAATCCCCAACGAACCACACAAACGCCTAGTAACAACACCGTCTGGGCGGAAGCCCAGGAGAGCGTAGAGCTGCGCGCGCACTGTGAGTCTCCGACTTCCGGCGTGCCTCGGCGCTGCGACTTAGGCGCGCACAGGCCGTAGCGACCCACGTGACCCGCGGGCCTACTGTGGCGGTAACTGTGAGTGTGTGCGGTGGCGGGGTGATTTGTTCTGTGCTGTGTGCTTTGCGGGCAGTCTGGGGCTCTCCCCCACCCCTGCTCTCGCCCGCCAGCCCGGAAGGAAGCCAGTGTGGGAGGAAGAGTTTCAGCCAGGTCCTCATCCCCTTTCTGAGCTCACTGGCTGGACCGTCTGCCCCTCCACTGGATTTGCCCCCCGCCGGGACCCGCCTGCCCCGAGTCTGCGGCGCGGCCCCGACGGCGCGCACTCGCGCAGCTTCAACTGCACTGTAAAACTTGGGCGGGCCCGGGGCTCCAGTTCCGTGGTGTTGAGTTAGGAAACGTTTGCAAACATGTCCCGGATCGAAAAGATGAGTATTCTAGGCGTGCGGAGTTTTGGAATAGAGGACAAAGATAAGCAAATTATCAGTTTCTTCAGCCCCCTTACAATTTTGGTTGGACCCAATGGGGCTGGGAAGACGGTAAGTCCTGAGTAGCTGCTTTCAGTTTACGACGGTTGCAACATATTACGAATCTGGGGAATAAAATACCTGACTGGGGAATTCAGAACTGTGATTAGGAAGAAGAGAGGCGTGCATCACTGTGCCTCCTCTTATGGTGACCCATAAAGGCCTTTGCAACCTACTGAGTCTGCCTGATCCCGCCACGTAAGGGGCTGCGGCCTGTCGTGTGGACGAGGTTTATTTGAAAATCCCACTGGTCGGGTATCGGCCTCGGTCAGCTCACGGTCTTACAAGAAGCCCTCTCATCTCCGTCGATGTAATTTATAATTTAACACTGCTCCCAAAGCATGGCATGTATTTCCTGCTAGTTGTCCCATACAGAAATTCTTTTAAAAGTTATAATATATGACTCAGAGAAAAGTTTGTAAGTATACCTATATTAAATGAATTTTAAACTGACATACATACGTTAGGGCTTAGTTTAAGTGGTAAACTGCATTTTGTTAGGATGTTTTTACTCTGTCAAAATAAAAATTGTAGCACAGGTTATTTACTGTGATTTTTAAAAGCCCTGGAAATGATTAGAAATGTGAGTTGGTCTCTGGAATGGCATAGAATTACCTAAAAAGTATAGCCGAATGATACTCTGGTCTCAGAATGACTTACAAGGAGATACCTGTGTAATGGGGGAGACTCAAAGGATTTGTGAAAAGCATGTAGGAAGAGAGATATAGTGTTGAGACTTGAATGCCAAATAGTTGTCTACTTTTATTTATGTAATAATGCTGTTATCAAATGGCTATTATCCATTTGCATTATTATTGTATTATTGTTTACTGGAAGCAAGGCTCGTAAGTATAGTGTTTATGAACACTGGCTGCCTAACAAATTCTTGCTTCATGGTACCCTGTTTTCTCACTTGTACAAATGAGGATAAAAGTAGTTTCTACAGCCTAGGGTTAATGTGAGAATTAAAGAGTGAATGCATGCCAAAGTGGTTGGAACAATACCTGGCTCTCTATTAGGTTGAAGGCTTTGTGTTAGCCATTGTTATTAAATTAGGGTTTTAACTGGAAATAGAGAATTACTTTTTCCAAATAATAACTTATTTTAGGACAACTTCTATATTATATAACTTTTCTATGAACTTAAGCAATTATGCTTTAAACACTTAGTCATATCTTTAGTATAAGTTTTATACCATCAAATTTTATTTGATCTTATCTTTTATAGTCCCTATGGTAACTTCTCTTTTAACGTCTTGTAACTTCTTATTACATAATATACTTTTCTATTTGTTTAGACCATCATTGAATGTCTAAAATATATTTGTACTGGAGATTTCCCTCCTGGAACCAAAGGAAATACATTTGTTCATGATCCAAAGGTAATGAAGCTAGTAAAACTTTATGTTTTTAAAATGAAATATTTTAGATTGGAGAAAACCTGGCATCGGGAAAGTGTAGAGAAATATAAAAAGCTCTTGGGAGCTCTGGTAGCATAGTGGCTAAGGCGCTTGACTGCTAACCAGAAGGCTGGTGGTTCAAACCCACCAGCCACTCCTCGAGTTTTGATTAATCCAGAGATTAAGAACACCAAAAAATCCAAACCTATTACCATTGAGGAGCTCTGGTAGCATAGTGCCAAGGCACTTGACTGC